AGGCGCACTGTTTGTTGCTTGACCACAGGACTGAATGTCTCCTTGTAATCAATGTCATACTCCTGATGATAACCTTTTGCGACAAGACGAGCCTTGTACCTTGAAACAGATCCATCAGCATTCCGTTTAATGCGATACACCCATTTGCAACCAATCGGAGTGCGGTTCTTGGGTGGTGGAACCAAGTCCCATGTACGTTACTCATTCAAAGCAATAAACTAATCATCCATAGCCTGACACCAAAAACTATTACCAGAGGCTTGGCAGTAAGTGCTAGGCTCAGTGGTAGGTGGGGTAGTATCAAGGGTGGTAATGGTATAGGCTTTAGGTTTGAAAATTCCAGATTTGGCTCGGGTTTGCATGGTGTGTGTGTTTTGGGGCGGGGGTTGGTTAACCGGTTGTGTGTTTTGGAGAGGAGTAGGTGACGGTCGAGGGTGGGTTGGGGTACGGTTCTGGGGTTGGACCGTCTGTGGCGTGTCCATAGGGAGGGTGTCGGGCTGTCGTCCGTGACTGGTGGGACGGGCCTGGGGTTGGACCGTCAGTGGGACAGGAGCATGTGAGCCTGGGCTTGGAGGAAAAATAGGGGTTATAGGAGAGGGTGACGGGAGGGATGACAATTTGGGATATGGAAACTGATCCTCGACGAACCGAACATGACGAGAGACATAAACTTTTTGAGACATGGGTTCATAGCATTTATACCCTTTAGTGGTGGGGTGATATCCTAAGAAGACACAAGGAGTGGAGCGTGGTTGAAGTTTGTGGTGAGTGTAAGGGCGGGTCCATGGATAGACCAAGCAACCAAAGACACGAAGGTGGGTCTATATAGGAGGACGGTTATAAAGAGTTTCAAAGGGAGATTTGTTGGAGAGAGTTTTGGTGGGCATACGGTTGATAAGATAGTTTGCTGTGGCAAGAGCTTCGACCCAAAAGGTAGTCGGGAGAGCAGAGTCGTATAGAAGAGAAACAACCGTTTCAATGAGATGGCGGTGTTTCCGTTCAGCGACCCCATTTTGCTTAGGAGTGTAGGGACAAGAGGTGTGATGAAGGACTCCTAAAGTTTGAAGGAAAAGGCCAAAAGCGTTATTTACAAATTCTTTGCCATTATTACTTCGAAAAATTTTGATGTGAGAATTAAACTGAGTTTTAATCATTTTTTCAAAATTCAAAAAAATAGAGTAAGCTTCAGATTTATGTTTTAGGGGATAAATCCAGGTAAATTTGCTGAAATCATCAACAAAAGAGATATAAAATCGAAAACCGCTACAAAAAGGAACAGAGGTGGGACCCCAAACATCAGAATGTATTAATTGAAAGGGCGATGTGGCCTTATGTTCAGACAATTCAAAAGGTAAAGGACAGGACCTAGAGACATAACATGATTCACAATGTAAAGGCTCTGAAAACTGAAAACCTAAGGAAGACAAAATAGATTTGGCAATCGCAGGAGCTGGATGACCGAGTCTACGATGCCAAGTGGACTCTTGGATAGCTTGATACGCAACGGTTGGGAGTTTGGAAGGAAGTGTGTATAACCCATGCTCACAGAGGCCCTTGTACCGCAC